GGTACAAATCCCTATTTGCCTGGTCCCCATGGTTAACAACTTTGATCTCAGCAATAGTCGGACCTCTCCTCTTACTCCTATTAGCAGTAACCTGTGGTCCCTGTATTCTTAATGCCTTGCTCAGACAGTCCAACCAGTGGTACTGCGTTAGCAGTATACCCATTTAAATCGAGACCCCGAGCCTTACGATAATATAGAAATGGTTCCACCACCCTAAGTGCACTGTCTAACCACTTCTTTTCGCTTCTGTAATTTGCTTGGCTTAAAGATTTAACCCTTGCCATAACTCTAGTGGGGAATGAAGAGCCAGAATGCTCTGACTCCATTTTGGCTAGCTTGTTTAGACAAGCCCAGACAAGCTCAGGCATGTTAAAGCCTTATAAGGTATGAACAAAAACTCTGACTCTAAAAGATATTAGTCAGCACATTCCAATGCCCTGAAGACAGCCCCTACCAATCAAGACTTTCCGCATACACAGGATATGGGGACATCCAATTATTTTAAAAAATGCTTGGCGCGTGCGAGTTTCTGTGGAGTGCCCCAATAAAAGCTCCTGCCTGCTATTGTTCGGGGCCAGACTCCATCTTTGGCTCGTGAAGTCTGTACCCGGCTAGCCGCCATTTGGTTGTTATCCTTTTTCTACTTTAAATTCTTAAATAAACTTTTGCATAATCTTTTCTGGGTATCTGTGGGAATTATTCTTGATTCTCAAACTCTAACAATTCTAACTGCAGTGCAGGAGGGCAGAGGACTTGCCTGGACTAGTGGTCAGGAAGAAATATCTAGACCATAGCTGCACAAAGAATCCCTTCCTGGAACATGGCTGTGGACAGTGGCCCCATCTCCTGCTGCTTGATGTGATAACTCTGTTCCCTGTTACTACTTCATTCTGTCTGGGAGCTGGGGAGTTGTAATAGACGCAGAGAGCCTTATAGAGACTTGATTTCTGTTTCCACTGTATGTGAGATGCCAGCAGAAGAGGTGAGGCATACCACCACTCTACAGAAGGATTTTGGGAAGTGTCTGCCTGATGGTACAAATAAAAATCTCTTGGGGCTGGGTGTGGTGATGCATGCCTTTAATCTCAACATTGGAGGTAGAGGCAGGTGCAGATATCTGTGAGATCAAGGACAACCTGGTCTACATACCAAGTTCCAGGTCAGCTGGGCCTACAAAGAGACCCTGTCTCAAAACAAAACAAAAGAATCTCTTGGGGCTCAGAGAGTATCTCAGTGGTACAGTGTTAGAATTCTAGAGGACTTTAGTTAGATCGCCCACATAGAAAAATAAATAATAAATAAAGGCACTGTTTTAAAATACAGATTTTTTCAGGCCCCTCCCCCATGTACAGACTGAGACCCATAAATCTGCATTTTCAGAAGGCATTCCAGATTATTATGACATAGTTGACTCCAAGCTGCAGTTTGGGGAACACTAATACAGACTACCCCATCCCCAAGGTTACAGATATGGAAAGCGAAGCCCAGATGCCTCCAACGGCTTACTGAGAATTACAAAATAAGGCCCAGAATCCAAATACTCCATCTCCACATGTGCTCCACCCCCTCCACATACCCTGCCTGAGGGGCCCAGCAACCCAACTCCAACAAGTCTTCCTTTGTCCATCTCTCACCCTGCCCATTTCTTCTCTCTTCCTGCCCTCACTGTTCTGACATAAAGACAGAACAGAATGGGGTTTGATGAAGGCCAAACACCTTTCTGCTTCCCTTCCACCCATCCATTTGCCTTCTCCCACTGAGTTATTCTTCCTAAAATACAGATTTGTTCCCTACCCTACCCCATCACGTGCAGAACAAGATGGGAAATGCCTGGTACCCCCACTTGACTCAACCTTTCTGATCTGCAAGGCCGTTATTCTACAAACCCTTCTCATGCACTTCCCTGCTTGCTCAGCCTTGTCTTCCTGCTCATTTGATGCTGTTGGTACCTGGGTCAACAGTACTTCCTCCTCCTTGTCCAGCCTCCTCATCTTCTAAAGTCCAGGTAGGAGTCTGTTCTTTCAGAAAGCCTCTTACAAAACAGCCCTGACACTCTCCTCCTCTGACAACCAGAGCACCAGACCATTTATTTGCAATCTGCTGTTACTACCTATTATATTCTGCTTTGAATTATGAACTTTAGTAATTCCCAGCTACAGGCCACAGCATACCCTTCTAATTAACCACCCACTTATTAACGTTCCTTGCACATAATAAGTACATAAGGGACGTTAGTAATAATGGAGGTATGCAATGCTGGGTACACAGGATATGGGGACATCCAATTATTTTAAAAAAAGATGCTTGGCATGGGCGGGTTTCTGTGGAGTGCCCCAATAAAAGCTCCTGCCTCCTATTGTTCAGGGCCAGACCCCATCTTTGGCTCGTGAAGTCTGTGCCTGGCTAGCCGCCATTGGGTTGTTGTCTTTTTTTACTTTAAATTCTTAAACTTTTTTTGTATAATCTTTTTGGGTATCTGTGGGAATTATTCTTGATTCTCAAACTCTAACAATTCTAACTGCAGTGCAGGAGGGCAGAGGACTTGCCTGGACTAGTGGTCAGGAAGAAATATCTAGACCATAGCTGCACAAAGAATCCCTTCCTGGAACATGGCTGTGGACAGTGGCCCCATCTCCTGCTGCTTGATGTGATAACTCTGTTCCCTGTTACTACTTCATTCTGTCTGGGAGCTGGGGAGTTGTAATAGACGCAGAGAGCCTTATAGAGACTTGATTTCTGTTTCCACTGTATGTGAGATGCCAGCAGAAGAGGTGAGGCATACCACCACTCTACAGAAGGATTTTGGGAAGTGTCTGCCTGATGGTACAAATAAAAATCTCTTGGGGCTGGGTGTGGTGATGCATGCCTTTAATCTCAACATTGGAGGTAGAGGCAGGTGCAGATATCTGTGAGATCAAGGACAACCTGGTCTACATACCAAGTTCCAGGTCAGCTGGGCCTACAAAGAGACCCTGTCTCAAAACAAAACAAAAGAATCTCTTGGGGCTCAGAGAGTATCTCAGTGGTACAGTGTTAGAATTCTAGAGGACTTTAGTTAGATCGCCCACATAGAAAAATAAATAATAAATAAAGGCACTGTTTTAAAATACAGATTTTTTCAGGCCCCTCCCCCATGTACAGACTGAGACCCATAAATCTGCATTTTCAGAAGGCATTCCAGATTATTATGACATAGTTGACTCCAAGCTGCAGTTTGGGGAACACTAATACAGACTACCCCATCCCCAAGGTTACAGATATGGAAAGCGAAGCCCAGATGCCTCCAACGGCTTACTGAGAATTACAAAATAAGGCCCAGAATCCAAATACTCCATCTCCACATGTGCTCCACCCCCTCCACATACCCTGCCTGAGGGGCCCAGCAACCCAACTCCAACAAGTCTTCCTTTGTCCATCTCTCACCCTGCCCATTTCTTCTCTCTTCCTGCCCTCACTGTTCTGACATAAAGACAGAACAGAATGGGGTTTGATGAAGGCCAAACACCTTTCTGCTTCCCTTCCACCCATCCATTTGCCTTCTCCCACTGAGTTATTCTTCCTAAAATACAGATTTGTTCCCTACCCTACCCCATCACGTGCAGAACAAGATGGGAAATGCCTGGTACCCCCACTTGACTCAACCTTTCTGATCTGCAAGGCCGTTATTCTACAAACCCTTCTCATGCACTTCCCTGCTTGCTCAGCCTTGTCTTCCTGCTCATTTGATGCTGTTGGTACCTGGGTCAACAGTACTTCCTCCTCCTTGTCCAGCCTCCTCATCTTCTAAAGTCCAGGTAGGAGTCTGTTCTTTCAGAAAGCCTCTTACAAAACAGCCCTGACACTCTCCTCCTCTGACAACCAGAGCACCAGACCATTTATTTGCAATCTGCTGTTACTACCTATTATATTCTGCTTTGAATTATGAACTTTAGTAATTCCCAGCTACAGGCCACAGCATACCCTTCTAATTAACCACCCACTTATTAACGTTCCTTGCACATAATAAGTACATAAGGGACGTTAGTAATAATGGAGGTATGCAATGCTGGGAGGCAGAGTGCAGGGTGGCTGGAGGTTTGGCCTGGAGGTCGGTGGCCTTTGGTTCCAGGACTTTCCTATACCTCTTGGGCTACCAATATTTCAAGGCTAACTTTAGCAATCAAGGTCAGATCTTCCCTGCACTAAGTTTCCACAGTCCTAAGCAACCTCCCTGGTTGTCACTACCCCACAGCTATTGCATTAACTTTAGCAGAACACCTATGCTTTCTTCAAATGTCATTCAGACAAGTGAGGTCACTTCTCTGCTCCTGTATCTTTTATACTGTCCTTGACTATGCCCCTATCAAAACATCATTAACCTTCTTATACTTGCCAGAGGACCAGGTGCCTGGCTTCCCATTCTTACTCCAGCCAGTGGTGATGTTGCCAGCTCATTGCAACAGTATAGCCAGGCCAACTGCTAGCTGTGTATCTTGCAGGCTAGCAGCGTTGGCTAACATGTTCTTGACCCAGTCCCATGGAAACCCTGAAGTATAGTTGATATAAGATAGCCTCCCTCTTTCACTAAGGGCAGATCATCATCCGTACATCCATGACTTGCTTACAACATAGCAACAAGCAGTTAATTTTGGATACATTGACAGCTTAAGTTCTAGGGCCTGAGCCAAGCTCTCAGAAAGGAGCCCTTTATTCTTTGTTGTAGGATAAATGTTCTGCCAGGGCTCCTGCAGCCTGCAGGTACCCAGAGGTTTGGGAGAAATTCTTACTGGAATTTAGGAGCCTTAACTCTGTGCCTCAAGTGCATAGAGCAGACTTTCTGCTTGGGGAAGCTGCAATGTAAACCTCGTGCGAAACCATTCTCTCAAGATGCCTCTTTCCCCTCTTTCAACAATACCAGTGAGGCTTTTCTGACCCTTCTCCCAAATAGTCTTCACAGGGTTTCTGGGTTTCTTATTAAATACTGCCATCTCCTAAAATATATATGTAAAATCTCTACTTACCAACATAGGTCCACTTGGATCCTACAAAGAACAAAAGGAAACAAGTAAGTACAATCGAACTGAGAGATTCAGGGAAAACACTAAAGATTTAGTTTTGAAATAGGTGAAATTAAAGAGGAAGTAGATACTCAGAAATAAGAACATCCAAGTCAGAGCCAGAATCATGGCTCCTTAGAGCAGCTAGGTCCTGCACACGGGCTCAGGATGGGGAGTTTATGGGGGGCTCATGAACTCAGGAAGGGGCTTCTACAATAGATGCCATCCAGACATCTTATAGAAACCAAGTATTATTGACTAGACAGGTAATAATTCCATGTGGCTTGAAACGCTGAAGCAATGAAAGGGTTCATTCAGTGAAAGCACCTACTTCCATCTTTGCTTGCTTCCCACTTCCATTAGGCACCTTGGGTGACTGTGGGCTCCTCATAATCAGGTCATGTGTGTATTTCTATCCCATCCCCTTCCCCTCTGGAAACACCATTCAACATCATGCTGTTTCCCACTTGTAACAACATATCCTGGAGACTCTTCTCACCAGTACCCAGAGAGCAGAAAAATACTTATTTCTTCAAGGGAGCTGCCACCCTCATCTGAGTTACAATGCCAGGGGTAGCAGGCATGTGGAGGAGCAGTTCTGACAGGAATATAATGCCAGCCACCCACCACCTTCTACTCCATACCCTTCCCACCAAACAGGACCTTCATTCCTACATCAAAAATGTATTTTTAAACAGTTCTTGCAGGGCTCTGCCCTTGTCGCCTCACCTGCCCCTCTAGAAGACTGGGACCCCAAGCTTCACTATGTCTCCCTGTATGTTGGGGGACACATGCAACAAGGAGGTGGTACAATTCCTGAAACAAAATTTCCTGGAATTTGAGCATCTCTGTGGTTGGGGGACACAGCTAGAGGAGGAAGAACCTAGCCTCCGCTTTGTCTCTTGGGAGTTTGAGGAATCTGTTTGTAATTAAACAGAACTGGCAAATATGTGGCCAGTGGTAGTTTCTAAAAGGCAAAAGAAGGCTTTGCTTTCTTTCTTTTCCTTTTTTTTTTTTGGTCTTTTCATAACCCCAGCTGGCCTGGAACTCACTCACAGAGATCCACCTGCCTCTGCCTCCAAGTGCTGGGATTAAAGGCATGCACTACCATGCCCAGCCTTTTTTCTTTCTTTTTATTAAAAATATTTTATTAGCTGGGCATGGTAGCACACGCCTTTAATCCCAGCACTTGGGAAGCAGAGGCAGGTGGATCTTTGTGAGCTTGAGGCCAGCCTGGTCTATATAGTGAGTTCCAGGACAGCTGGGGCTACAAGGAGACCCAGTCTCAAAACAATCAAAAAAAAAAAGTTTATTAGAGTTTCTTTCTTTAAGAAGTAACATGATTACATCAAAAGATGTATAGGTTGGAGAATTTGGAATAGGGGTAAATGGAAAACTCAAATTTATAAGAACAGTGAATAATTTCATATTATTATTGAAGCTTGGTAGTACAGTTTTGTCAGTAATCAAAATTCAAAAATTATATTCAGGGGCTAGAGAGATTGCTCAGTGGTTAAGAACACTGACTGTTCTTGCAGAAGACCCAGGTTTGAATCCCAGCACCCACATGGCAGCTAACAACTGTCCTGACTCCTCTTCTAGGGGATCCAACAGCCTCTTCTGACCTCCGTGGGCATTGCACGACATGGGTGCACTTACCTACAATGCAGGCAGTACACACATACACATAAAATAAAAATAATAAATAAAATAAAATAAATTATATTCAAATTTACATTCTAATAAATAATTATATATTTTTAGTTTGAGGATTATATCAGTTTAGCAATTATAGTACTTTCTATTTCTTTTTTTTAAAACTTCCCAGACTGTAATTTTTTTTATTTAAATAATAAACTTTATTAGGCCCAGAAGTTGGTCAGTAATTTCAAAAATGGTACTCTACACAGTCAGAGAAACTTCTCTAGTAACAAACTATAGAAATGATCCCTGAAAGTATAGTCTTTCCAGACTGTAATTTTTATCTCTAGAAGTTCAATCAGGGCATAGGTAAAGGCACACTGGGGCTATAGAAGAGTAATGGAAAAAGAATGGAAAACCTCTTGGTGCCTGGTAATGGGAGAAGTCCAACATCAAGGCCTGGATACCCAGGACCACATACAGAGTGGGACCACAGCTGGGCCTCAGGGGAGGTGGGAGGTCCATTCTAGAGAATCAACCCTCCCAAGACCAGAACCTGAAAATAACAGAGGCCTCCCTTGTCCCCAGCATAAGAGGCAAAGTCTCTGCCATGTGCAATCTGGGACCTCAGAGGAAGGGGCTGTGGGCAGTGTAGTCACTCAGAGAAGATTGAAACTGCTGCCCAGCATTAGGAAGTCCTCCATGCTCTGCCCTACCATCAGCCTACTTAATGTCAGAAGAATATAAAACTGTGGCTCATGGTAGGGGGTTCAAAGCTTCAAGGCTCATGTTCAAAGCTTCAGGACCACAGCTCCAGCTCGTAGGAGGAGACCACAACTCTGGCTCATGGTGGTGGGGAGGGGCAGTGCTCCAATTCCCAAGACAGGATCACAGCTCCAGATCATGGGAGGGGACCATAGCTCCCGCTCACAGGAAAGGACCACAGATCTTGTTCATGGGAGCGGATCACAGCTTTAGCTTACAAGAAAGGACCACAACTCCAGGTTCACAGGAGGGAGAACTCAGCTCCAGGTCATAATTGATTTTATCTCTTTTTTTCCATTGTTGCTATTATCGCCGTTTCATTTCTTTGTCATCATGTTATTAATTTTGTTTATAATTTTCAAATATAATTGGTAATTTTCATCAAATGAAATATCTGTACATAATTTAGTCAGATGGTTCTACAAAGCTTTTAAACAAATATCAGCCTCCTAAAGTCCCTTGTTATTTATCTTCTCCCTAGGACAACCACTTTGAATTCTTTTCCATATTTATTCTCTCTATACCTCCAGAAAATATGTTTCTATTGTTCCAGTTTGGGTTTTGTAGGTTCAGGGGCTTATTTATTGACATCTCATCCTGGAAGAGGACTCAGTTCTCTTCCATCATGTAGCTGTAGTTCATCACCAGTTTTCACATGTGATATGAAGTGACTTGCCCCAGATCATATATCTGCTAGGCATCTCAGCACATTTGCCAGGCATGTACCACTAGTTCCCATGAACTTCAAGAGTCTTTGAGTCTCATTCTCAACCTCTGGAGCAGAAGTCTAGGCAGTCCAGACTCCTCAGAGTATCTAATGGTACTTTGAACCTTCTCACCATAAAAATAGTATAATTTTAGGCATACAAAATTTCATTTACAATTAGCTTCAGAGGTCTACAGACAGCTCCCTCTCCCCAACCTGCTATGGGCCCCATAGGAGCTAATAGTCCTGAGATTACTTCCCTGAATTAACAGTTGGATGAATCATGGATTTACTTGTGACCCCCAACTTTATTACTAGCCCTTTGACTGAAGCCGTAGAGAAGAGAATTTTTTTTAAATTGTCTTGCAAACAAGCTATAGAAGACATTAAACATCTTTTGTGAGCATTTTCCCTTGCCATTTTATGTCAGGGGTTGGCTGCTGAAATAGTCATGGATTTCAGAGACTCAGGAAGCCAGATGATTGCTGCTTTGCCAGCCAGAGCATTTGAAGGCCCAGGATGTAAAATTCCACTGGTAAGCTGAGAGTCCTCCTCACTTCTCCCCTGAGGGAAATTCTAGAGCCCTCTAGAAAAAAAAAAAAAAAAAAAAAAAAAAAAAACAACCCTTCTTCGCCGGGCTCCCTTGGGGGCCAAGAGGGTGTATTGCACCCGCTCCAAAAAAACTCCTCGCGTGAACACACACACACACACACACACACACACACACACACACACACAACACACACCCCTCTGCTACCCTACTCTGGACTCAATGAGCTAAGGCTTCCAGGATGTTCCCTCCATTCTCAGCATAGTGCTCTGGAAGCTAAGGAACAGACATGATACGAGAGCCATCTAGGACTGTAAAGCCTCAGATGGTGACACAGAGTTGGGACTTATCGCTAAAACCCAGCAGCACCTCCTCCCTCTGAGCAAATATATGTGATCTTTGGGACATGGTGTTTTGGATATAAATGGCAGTGCCGGGGTTAGCAGCTCCATAAAACAAACGTGAGGATGGTGAGTCCATAGGGTTCAGTGGTAGATATTAGGATCCACCCAGACCCACAGTCCACTCAGATCTGACTACAGAAAGATATTCTCAAAGCCTACACTTGTACATTCATGTTCTCTTTCCTGGAATGACACCCCGTTTCACCACCTCTAGTCTCAGCATCAGGAGTCTATAGGATTAATGCAACCCCATAGGGTAGACCTGTCTAAGCTTCCTAAGGGGGCAGGCCCTTCCCATAAGAGAACCATTCTCTTCTCCAAAAGGTCAGATATAGGCAACTTAGTGATGCACTGTTGGAATTTCCAGACCCAGTTGGCTCTGGGCAGGGGGACACTCTGAGGAAACAGTATTTACCAAAATCCAGGCCAGAGAGATTCAAGGCCATGCTTACTCCCTGCCTTGGGTGTTCGAACCTTCCATGAATAGTGGACACCTGTATACAAGCAAATGGAGGCTGCCCAGCTGTCCACCTTTGATTCAGGCAGAGCAGGCTCTATAGAGTTCACAGAAATGGTCCTCAGCCACAGCAAACAAGAATTTCAAACTTCCTCCAGAAGACCCTTGGCTTCACCATCATGCTCCTCCCTTCCCCAGACCCACGGACTTTTCTCGGACATTCACTAGTGTCAGCGTCTACAAGTTTCAATGCTCCAAACAGAAGACAGAACACTTTGACCCCTTTACTCAGCTAGTCCTCCAGCCCCAGCCTTGGGTTAATACTGGCATTCTATCCAACTCAGTGAGTTTTGTTTGACCTTATCCAGTGAGGCAGTCAAGAAGCCAAGAAACATGCTTAATAAATGCCAGAATAAAAGCTTAGAACTCAGAGGTAGATAGGCTGGCTTCTCAGTATCCGGTACAAGTGGGGGGAGGGATGTTACTGCAAGCTTCCCCCACCTCGGCTTGCAGAATGGAAAGGGTAGGAAGGGGCCAAGGAGGAAGAGACTAGGGAGCAGCTGCCAAATTGAAGAAGCCCTAAGCTTTCAGGATAAAGGGTCCCCAAAGAGCTCTTCTTTCCTTTGTCTTGAGGAACTTGGTACTAAAAAATCTTGTAGTTGAACTTTGGTCTCTAAATCGCCAAAGTTGATATTTTTCAAACTTAATTTCCATTTTTTGTGGAATTTCTCCCACCTTCTGTTTCTCCCTGACCACATGAGGGAAGTGTTAGTAAGCAGATGGTGCTGGTCAGTAGATGAGAGTTTAGTGAAGAGCAGGCCAGCAGGGGTTTATGTCAGGTCTCCCAACCCTTCTGCACTGCTGTGATCTACCATGAAGGAGTGCAGAACTTTGGTGTCACTGACAGTGGCACCTCCCACTGTCTAGACAGGGAAAATGGATTTTTTTTTCAGCTATTATGATCACTCTTGATCCTTCTATAAATGTTCCAACCCAGGAACTGTACACCCACAAGGGTCTCCACAACTCGGGACCAACTATCACAGGCAAGAGTACAGTGAGATACCTAGTCACTATCTTCTTCCTCAGAAAAGTAGCTGAGTGAGAACCAAGCTAAAGCTTGCTGTCCTTTTGTCAGTTCCAAAAGAGTTGGTTAACCAGGCTTTGGATGTGAGCCCACAGTTCAGGTCCCTCTTCCCACCTCAACCCGCCACCCTACTAAGGACCCTCAACCTCTGGTCTTTTGGGGTTCAGTCACTAGTAACAATTAGAAATGAGGGATATGTGTACATGAGTACACACATGAAGAGTCAGGATAGTAGACTAGGGGAAAGGCAATGAGTAAGAATGGGCCACATTACTAAGCCCCTTGACATGGAGGTAAAATCTGGAGGGGCAGCATTCAGAGGGCAGACTTCCTGGAGAGCACATCACTCAGAAGGCCAAGGTCATTTCTCAGCTCTCTGCAGGTGGCTTGGGGATGCAAGGCTTTAAATCCTGGTCAGCAAGTTTCCAAGCCACATCTCCAGAGTGAAGGGTGTTCAGAAAACCAGCAAACCGAGTAAAGCCAGCTGTGAGCCAAGTCCCAAGAAAAAGGCAACGTGCCTCCCACTCCATCCAACCTTAGTTGGAGTCCCAAACGAAAAGTAATCATCTTTTCTTTAAAATGTGCTACTGACCACACACGGCCTTCCCTTCTCCCTCAGCAGTAATTTTACTTTGTCTTAAAAGAACTCCTACCCAGGTGGGGCGTTAAAGAAAGCAGGCAGTAACTTTACCGTTGAGCCGGGCTGGGCTGGAAGGCTGCTCCTTTAAGATCACCAACAGAAGGACCGCGGCGGCGAGCAGGCTGGCGTGCGGCATCTTCAGCTGGTGGGTGGCTGTCACTCGCTCAGCGCCGGGCCGGGCGTGCACCAGGATCGCCTGCGCACAGACAGGGACCGCGCGGTGCACGTCTACTCTTTGGGCTGCGCGCTCCCCCATGGCTGCATTTTAAGCAACGACTCAACCCCAAACGTGATGTCATCGTTCAGGGAGGCGGGGGCAGAACGCCCAGCCTACCCGAAGTGAGAGGTAGCCTTGACATTAGTGGCCCTCAGGGTCCCATGGAGTTCCTCTGGGCTACCACCTGGGGAACTAGTTCCCCGTGGGAGCTGTGGGCAGGCACCCAAACCCCTAGTTGAAAGCCCCGAAATATATAGAATACTATTTGAACTAAACTCTCCTTCAGGGCTCCAATCCTGCTTTGACTGGACGCAGGTTAACTAAGCAGCTGAGAACCACACAGCGCATCCTGACTAGGGTCTTCCGAAATGAAACCGTAAAGACACTGAGAATAGGAGCAATGAGACACAGGCAATGTAAAGCTTTACTCGGAGATTAGAATTTCCTCTAATAAGAGATGGGTGAACAAGGCTCGCTCCCTGTGCTAATTCATAGTATCGGGGGTAACCCATGGAAGAAAAAGGCTTCCAGCGCCTACTGAGTGAGCATCTGCATGCGTCAGACATATAGATGGGGGGGGGGGTGTCTAGGCATTCAGCTTGGTCTAGATCAGCGTCCAAGCTGTTCCCACTGCAGGTTATCACCACTTGTTGCTTACTTCTACCCACTTTTCTTACATTTCTGCCTGCTTTGCAATATGCACACTCATATTCTAATTACATACATGCAGTTCCGATCTCTGTATTTGGCCCATGCCCAGTTAAGTCAAAGGCCTTATTAACCTGCTGACTCCACCTGCACCCCCCTCCCCCGCTTCCCAGGTCCTCCTGTCCTTTCTTTCTAATTCCCACCACTGGAGTTATTATGCTTCTGGCTTCAGTAAGTCCTTCAAGGGTCTCTGCATTGCTCCAGGTGTAAGTTTTGGTTTCCTTGCCCCTGTGACCTGGCTCCCTATTGTCCACACTGGCTGCAGAAGGCACTCACCCCCAAGCCCTGACACATGACCCCTGAGTTTATAACCTGGGCAACCATGTCTTCTCAGACAGACCAGCTCTCCCCAGTCTCATGTCTGTTCTGACACTCAGCTTAAGTAGACCAGGTTGGCTTAGTGGCTAATGAAGACGCTTGTTCACCTAGGTCTTGGAGGGATTGAAGAATCCTGAGAACTACCAGGAAGCCAGTGCCACCTGCTTTTCAAGGCGTGTCACTGTTCTGTCCCTGACAACTCAGCTATTGTATGGGTGATAAAGGGCTTGATGTTTCTTCAAGGAAATTGTCAACAATGACAATTTTGTCACAAATACTTCCAGACCATAGCAGGCTTAAGGGTGACCTTTTCTCCATGATAAATGGCCTTGAGTGTTCTCTGAAGTAGCCAAGGTAGTCTCTTTAGAAGATGAAATGGACTAGGATGTAAGAGTATCAGGGAGAGTCCTGCAGGTTCAAAGATGCAGATACCAAGCTTGGGGAGTGAAGTCAGAACTAGTTCAAGGCCAACAGGACCATGCTCACACACCTGCCCTTGCCACTCCCAAGCCAGGTGTTTCCCAATATGTCTGGTTCAATGTTCTTTTCAGTTTCTCTTCAAATATGCACTTATAAGGGAGCCCCAGAAATGGAGACGTTAAAGGGAGAAAGGGTAGGTATAGTACAACAGTAAGGCCAGATCACAAATTAGATTTCTTAGATAAAGGGTTGGGATGCTTATTGCATGTATCAGACAGCTGGTTACTTAGTAAAGAATGGATTTTTTTTTTTTTAAATCAAGAATATAAAGTGGTGCTCATTGAGGTGGTTTATACTTGAAGTTCCAGCACTTGGGAGGCTGTGGCAGGAGGATCTCCAGTTCAAGGCTAGCCTGAGTTACACAGTGAGAACCTGGGTTGAAAAGAAAGGGGGAGGGTGGTAGGAGACACCTGAAGATGGCCCAGACGTTAAAGGTGCTTGCCACACAAACCTAAGTAAGGACTGAAGCCAATCCTCTATCCCACAGTGGAAGGAGAGAACTGACTCCTTCAGGTTGTCCTCTGACTTCCACATGTGTGGTATGGCAAGGTTGCTCTCCCTAAATAATGATAATAATAGTTTTAAGTGGACAGGAAGAATTACCATAAGGACTTTGAGTGGATTTGAATGAAAAATGTTAGTTTTAAAGGATTGGTCATGGGTGACAAACTGAAATGGATAGAATGACCAAACTTCAAAAGCAATTCAACAACAAAATATTTTAAATACACACACACACACACACACACACACACACACACACACACAATTCAAGCTAAATGTCAAGAGGTCCCCCAGAAAACAACACACACCTACGCAGCTTAAGTTTGCAACTCTGAGACTCTTTTCCCCACTTCCTGAAGCTTGTGTTGCTGATCAAGCAAGGACCAGCTCTGACATCATCAGATGGGGCTGTCATCAGCCAATAAAAACAGCCCATTACTTACTGAATTGGGATGGAGCTTCTGTGCACAAAATGTGGCAACTGGCCACCAAATGGCATGCCCAGGCACCAGGGCACAATGTCTCTCTAGAATGTAACATTTGAATAGCCCTGTGGGCCAAGCTGGTGAGTCAAAGGGAAGAGGAGAGTAAACAGCACTGATTGACCGTCAAGAGGTCTGGACTAAAGCAACTTTCTTTTCCCTAAGAGGGGTAATCCCTGCCCCTGGGTTACTGACAGAACCCATATGTGGCTTGAAGGAGATAAAGGCCAGTGAAATCGTTTCTGTTCATTCATTTGTTCATCTTTTAAGTGCAGGTACTATGCTAAGCATAAACTTTGTTCTTAGAGGGTTCTCTCATAAAGTCAATAATTGCACAAATGACTATGTGTTTACCATTGTAGTAATATTACTATTGTAGTAGTGCAATAGAAAGTTGATGTGTAACACACAGGGCCTCATTCTTTCCTAGGGTAGTGACAGGAGACATCACCGGTGTGAAATCAGATTCCATGACCTCAAAAAACCTTTTAAATAAGAACTATTGCCAGGTTCCTCATTCCAGAAGTTGGCGCCATTAGATATTGGCATGTTTCACAAACTGTTAGCTTTCAAATAGAAAGGTTAGCTTTTGAGACTTTTATTTCTTTTTTAAAAACTAAGTGAATGTGGGCTGGAGAGATGGCTCAGTGGTTAAAAACACTGATTGCTCTTGCAGAGAACCCACAGGGCTGCTAACAACCATCTGTAACTCCAGTTCCAGGAGATCTGATGCCTTCTTCTGATCTCTGAGGGTATTTCACCTCATGGGTGTGCTTACACACATGCAGGCAATGCACTCATACACATAAAATAAAAATAATAAAATATTAAATAAAAATAAATAAATAATGTGAATGCATGTGTATCTCTGTGGGGGAATGTATACATGACTGCAGATGCCCACAGAAGCCAGAAGAGGGTGTCAGATCCCATGGAATTGAAGTTACAGATGGTTATAAGTTGCCCGATGTGAGTGCTGGGCACTGAACTCAGGTCCTTTGTGATCTTTACTGCTGAGCCGTCTCTCCGGTCCTCAAAATTTCATTTCTTAAGGTAGGAATGAGTTCCTTAAATAGTGTCACTTAGTTGGGGAAAATACACTTTTATATGAAAGGACTACTTAGAGGCAAATTAACATTTATTAATCACCTACTGTTTTGTGTGACACTGTGTGGTACTTCATTCTTAAAACTGCCTCTGGAGATAGCATTAGGTCTGAGGAATCTGAGGCTTGGAGAAATTCGATCTTTTCTTAGCACAAGTTCACAAGGCTTTTGAGTGGGCAAAGACATCATTCTCAATCCAGACAATTCTGTCTCCAAAACTAAGGCTTCTTCCATGGTTATCCTACTAGATGGGGATTTTTTTTTTTAATTTCTCTGAGATGTGGATTCTCTGATTTTCTAAATCCTGCATTTGCTGATTAGAGGCAGAATATGCCAGTTCCTAGCAATCCATTCTCAGAAGGGCACATGGGTGTGTCTTTCTCTCAAGCCCCACAAGGGTAGAGATGGTGCCCTCTGATGAATTTCACACCTGCTGAAATGTGATAGAAGGAACTCGAGACCTTGGAGCTCTGATTCCACACAGCTCTCTGGCAAAGAACATGAGCCCTCTGTACAGCTTCTTGTTATATTAATGAGCTGTGCTTTGACCAAGGAAGGAGGAGGAAGAGGAGGGAATCAGCAGAGGGAGAAAGGCGAAGGGAGCAGGGAGGAAGAACAGAAGGGAAAGGCTAAGCTCTGTCCTTAACTGAGCAAGGGCTGGGGTAACATATGGGTTAGAACATGTATGAGCCCATTAACACGGGTATAAAAACACAGTTCGGTAGTCTCATTCATACCTGCACTTCACTTTTGTAGCAGCAGCATAGATTCACAACCTCTGTGTGAACCCTAGCCACCCTGCTCAGTTTCAGACAGGATCAGTAAGAGGGCAGTGTGACCTGGAGGGAAGAATGCCAGACTCCTGGCTGTGCTGGGAGCCAGCCCTGGGACCGTCACAATTCTGTATGTCTCTGTTTTCTGATCCTGTAGCTAGAATAAGAATGTCTAACCCCACACAGGGTTGGTGCCATAAGTGTGAAAGTGCTTTGGAAAAAAATATATAAAACAGCCTTACACACACAGAGAGAGAAAGAGAGAGAGAGAAACAGAGAGAGGGAGAGAGAGAGAGAAAGAGAGAGAGAGAGGATCACTCCTAAGAGTGAGCTTGAAATAGAAAGAAGTTGGTGGCATCTCAGTCTTGATTTACTAATCTAAGAAAATGAAAACTGAATTCCAATGTGGGAATTCTCACCTTGCCACTACCTCTAGTTACCATGGTGACTCTGGTCCAGTCACCTTAGTCCACTGAATCCTTCAGCTGCTACACTACTTCTGTTGAGTGAGCAATGATGGCTATTTATCAGGATCTTTATAAAGACCTCTGTATGATAAAGAATGATAAAAAGTCAAAATTGTATGCACAGGGAAATTTATCATTTTAGGGGAAACAAACCTTGATGCAATA